ATGGGAATCACCATCGTGTTCCAGATGGTGTGTTTGGTGAATGCTGAGCTGTATCCTACGTTCGTCAGGTGAGTACGTGATGGTGGTGGCAGGTGGCGGTCACTGAAATAGCTGTGTGCCAGCCAGGCGTAGTGAGGACCGGCATCTCCAGGGCAGCTTCTCAAGGTGCCCCCAGTGGCCAATCCATTTGGATATTGAGATGGGGGGTTTGGGCTTCAAAGAGAAGATCAACAGGTGATTAGAGCAGAGAATGTGAAATACGGAGGTTTGAGTGGCTAAGGGTCACGTTGTGCTCTGTGCAGAGGGCAGCACAAGAGAAAAGATGTCTGGCACAGAAGAGAGGGCACTGGGCAGGCAGTGGGCAGCTGATTAGCTGTATAAGCCTTGGCACCAATGAGGTGTATAAACTGCAGCTCCTCTGCTGACACCTCCGGACATAACCTGCTTAAATGGTTCATATATATATAATGATACACAAAGCATTTCCAGAAATATGATGCAGTGTAGCCCTTAACATCATTGTTATCCCCACTTTACAGATGAGGGAGCTGAGGTTTAGAACAGGAAACAGGCCTTCCAGGGGTCACACAGCTAGAAGCAGCAGGGCATCTTTCTGACCTTGCAGCTGGTGCCTCTCCCGTGACGCAACAAGACTTCTCTGCAAACTGAGTGACAGGCCCAGAAGGCTTACTGTGTAAACCCAGGTTTAATGAGGTAGAATTTTCTTAGAGCCAGTTCTCCCTGAATGCACCGTTTAATGAGTGTTGATTACATATATTCATTTAACCATCACCACCTTCAGTGTAGAGACATTTCCATCATCGGCTCCACACGTTTCCTCTTCCCCTTGGCAGCCACCCTCCTCCCCTGCCCACCTCCAGCACCTGATCCAATTGTTCTCCCTGTGGTTTCACCTTTTCCAGAATGTTGTGTGAGTAAAATATGGCACATAGCCTTTCGCGTTTGGCCCCTTTCGCGTAGCATGATGGGACCCATCTACGCTGTTGCGTGTATCCGTGTTTCGTTCCTTCTTGATGCCGAGTAGTATTCCACAATTTGTTTATCATTTACCAGTTCATGGGCATTTGGGCTGTTTCCAGTTTGGGGTGATCACAATACAGCTGCTGATAAACATTCATGACTTTGAGTGGACATATGTTTTCATTGCTATTGGGTAACAACTTAGGAGGGTAAGTTTAAATTTGTGAGAAACGGTCAAAATCTTTTCCAAAGTGGCCGCACCATTTTGCATTCCACCAGCCATGTGTGAAAGATCCAGTTGCTTTCTATCGTCACAGGCACTTGCTATTGTCAGGTTTTTTTTTTTTAATTTTAAGTCATGCTTGGAGGTGGTGGTATTATTGTGACTTTAATTTACATTTTCCCAATTACTAATAATGTTGAACATCTTTGCAATGTACTTACTGCCACGTGTGTCTTAGAAGACTTGGTTTAAACAAAGATTATTTCACCACCTTATTTAAGCTTAATTCTGATCTTTGTTAGAATTTGGCATACTTCCTTAAACTCTTTTTTTCCCCCTCTGTATGAATTGTTTCTTCTCCCCATGTCCTCAGACCAATGGTTTCTAAGAACTAGTCCAGTTCCCCACGCTCCTATTACACCTGCACTGCTCCCTCAGCCCCTCGCTGAGCCAGAAGACGCAAGAATAGTGGTCATTCACTCTCCTCTTTCCTGCCCGTCCCATTGTTAAAAGGCCCTGTCTTATACTCTCATTCGTAAAAGGTTGCTTGGACTGAGTATTAAAAGATGAAGGCAAAATTAATGAGAAAAATCTACATTTGGCACTTCAGAGCCCACAGTCTAAATCAACCAGGCCAAACAATCCCATTGTCACGGCCACGGGACTCAGGGGACTGACTCAGAATGTAAACCGTCAAAGGTACTGAGTAGGGAGACCAAGTGACCTGTCCCGAGGAGCCCAGGGCCTTCGTGCAGAGCCAGCTGGATGAAGCTTCTTAGTGACAAGGAAGGAAAGCCAGATGGTCAGAAATAACTTCAAACTTGATCCACATACACAGAAGTAAGACAGTCATGAAAGGTCCAGTATTTTCAATCAGTGTAATCAAATCTAAATTGCTGAAAAAAAAAGAGGATTATTTCTGTTACTTTATTACCTTATAAGCACTTCAAATTCAAACAGGCACTATTTCAACCGTTGAGCCCTGCCTCTTAGGAAGCAGGAGGCTTTAGGGCTGAACGGCCTCCCCCTTCTGTCTGCAGCACATATCGTCAAGAACGTTCTTTTGGCATCAATGTGCACTGCCTGATATTGAAAATCGTCTTTTTATTTTTACCTCCTCACTCTGTTATGAACACCTTGAAAACGGGAATCATGTATCATACTTCTTTGTGACTCCTGAAACTGTTTAAAGCTGTGCTAACCAGTCACGAACCACTTGTAGAACGACTGAATGAATGAAGTATCACAGACATGTGAATTTTAAATAAGGGACCTAGTTCTCTACGTCTAGCTTCTGTGTGCTTATCAAAAAATAATTTTAAGGGCCGGCTGAGTGGCGCGATGGTTAAGAACTGGCTTGGGATGCCAGAGGGCCCCGGTTTGGATCCCACATATAAGGGCCAGTGACACTGCCCTCTACAAAAATAAAAAAATAAAAAAAATAATTTTAAGACTTCTTTTCTTAAAACAGTAAAAAATAATGGTGTCTCTTCTTTCTCCCCTTGGGAACCATACTAGAGCTATTAGAAGAATGAGAAGGAAAAAACAAACAAACCCTACAAATGCTTTCTGTACAACTAGGATGACCCTGGAAGACAATATATGTGAGGAAAGCTCTAATGCCATGAGGTCTAAGAGGGTCTAGAAGAGTCCAAGGAAGCACACCTGTGACAGCAAATTTTAGACAAGGCCAGCAGTTTTCCAACGTAGGAAGTTTGTTTTTTAAACTCTTTAAATATGTAAAAACCATTCTGAAGTCAGAGGTCATAACAATGCTGGATTTGGCTGTAGTTTGGGCTATAGTTTGCTGACCTCTGACTGAAAGCAAAAATAACAGTATGTTGTAGGATTTATAACCTATGTAGAAGTAAAATTGTGTAACACTGGGAGGAGAGAAATACAAGTTTACTCTTGTACAGTTCCTGTGTAATCCATGAATTGTATAATATCAACTGGAGGTAGACTGTGCTGAATTAAAGATGAGTACTATAAACCCTAAAGCAAAAACTAAAAAAAAAAAATAGTTTTAGCTGTTATTAAGCCAACAAAGAAGAGAAAATAGAATCATTTAAAACAATTCATTAGAAGGCAGAAAAGGAGGAAAAGGGTAACAAAGGACAGATAGAATAACAAGAAAACAAATAACAGGATGATAGATTTAAATCAAACCACATCAAGAATTATAAGAAATATAACTGGTCTATACACCCCAGTTAAAAGGCAGAGATTGTTATATTGGACAAAAAGTGAGACCCAACTATTATCTGTCTATAAGAAACTCACTTTAAATTTAAGGGCAGAATAGTTTAAAAGTAAAGAATGGAAAAAGATGTTATAAATACAGATAGTATAAGAGTTAAAGGGTGGAAAAAGATAATCCAAGTGATCACTAATCAAAAGAAAGCCTGAGTGTCTGTATTCATATAAGATAGTAGCTTTCAACACTAATCCTAACCTTTGCCTAACCCTAACCCTGTTCCTAATTCTAACCCTAACCCTAACCATGTCCCTAACCCTAACCATAACCCTGTCCCTAACCTTAACCCTACCCCTAACCCTGTACCTAAATGTAACCCTAAACCTAAATCTAACTCTAACCCTGTCCCTAAACCTAACCATAACCCTCACCCTGGTTCTAACCCTAAACCTAGCCTTATTCTTAACCCAAATCTAACCGTAACCAAAGCCCTAACCCTAATCCTGTCCCTAACACTAACCCTATTCCTAAACCTAACCTTGCCCCTAACCCTAACCCTGTCCCCAACCCTAACCCTATTCCTGTCCCTAACCCTAAAAAAAAAAAAAAAAGTAGCTTTCAGAGGAAAGACTATTATCAGGGATGAATAGGGCCATTTCAAGTTGATTGTTTCTCTGTGTTTCCCCTCTAGCTTTCTTTGTCTTTTATTCCTTAATATCTTCTCTCTACTCTTCCTTATAGCTCCATGAAAAAGAAAAAACTCTACTAACACAACCAATTCTCCAACTCCAAACAGCAAGCAGGTGTCCTCTAATTCAGTCCTGACATTACCTAGCTGGGATTAGTGCAGACTCGTAGATTAAGGGCTCAGTCCCACAAGACTCTCTCCACTTCAGACGCCGGATGCAAGTCCTAGTTTGCCCACCTCTACTTCTGACCAACTGGCTATAAATCAAGATTCCCACTACCTTCTCTTCAAGTTCAAGAATTTGCTATAATGGCTCATAGAACTCAGGAAATCTCTTACTGGCATTTACTGATTTATTATAAGGGATATCCTGAAAGATATAGATGAGCAGCAGATGAACAGGTACATAGGGAGAGGTGTGGAAGGGCCCCAAGCACGGGAGCTTCTGTCCCTGTCAAGTTGAGGTGAGCCACCCTCTGGGCATATAGGTGTATTCACCACCCAGGAGCTCTGTGAACCCCATATTTCAGGGTCTTTATGGAGGTTCCATTACGTAGGCATGCTTGATGAAATCACAGGCCATTGGTGATTAACTATCTTCAGCCCCTTTCCCCTCCCTGGAGATTGGGGGGTGGGGTGGGCACTGTGTTTGTTGAAGGATAAGGTTAGCATCTGGAATCACATAAATGTCATCTTTTTTTGTTCTCTGTGTTTTATCAGGAACCTTGGAGTGATGGTATGCTCCTCTCTGTGTGATTTGGGGGGCGTTATCACCCCCTTCCTGGTCTTCAGGCTGGTGGAGGTTTGGAAAGGCTTGCCACTCATTCTGTTTGGTAAGGCTTCACGGGACATTGATTATTTCTTCTTTCCAGCCCAACACAAGTACTTAATTAAGTATCTGATGAGTAAATGATACCCCCCCATGAGTTTACAGAAGGCAGGATGACACCATCTCTTCTGTTGGCTCCTAGCTCACTCTGCCATGCCTCATGGGAAAGGCAGGATGTCACTTCTAGAAGACGGGCCAGAGGTTTACATCTGGGGGCTCCGGAGTCCAATAATTCATCCCGTAGGACAGGACCTAAGAGACCTTCTGACATAGCCGCCTGCTTTCTTATGAATTTGAGCCCCAACTCTTGTGCATTTAGCATGTACTTGCTGGAGGTTTAAAGATCTAAATTGTTACCTCTCTTCTGCTTCCTGATCTTAACAACTGAGAACAGACACAAGGAGACAAATGGGAATCAAAGTTCAGTATCAGCTTTGTACTGTTAAGGCTGAATTAGAAAAGGAGAAGGGGACTCTTCCTTTCCTCTCCAAACCTAGACCCAGGATACCTCCAAGACCCTACTTACCCACTTGGTGAAAGGCAAAATGGTGGACCATGCTCAGAGAGCTGCAGTGCCTGGGCCCAGTGAATCCACGATGAAGAGGGAGGAAGAGAAGAGAGGAGAAGAGAGAGGGAGATGGAGGGAGGGAAAGAGAGAGAGTAACGAGAGAGGCTGGCATATATATTAGCTATACTCTGTATCACATATATGTATACTAAGATAATATTTATATACAGTGATTATAATATATGTCATATAATCATATAGTAACTAGTGAAAATTGAATTTCGTATTTTTCTTGAGGTACGTGAATCAACAAACCCCCTAATACTTAAACATCAGTTACTATAGAACTTCTATTTACATAGAAGTAAAATGAAGGCAATAGTCCCTGTCTTATCTGGCATTTCCCCATTTATTTTATTACTTTAATTTTCTAGATGTTCCTGACTTTTTTTTAACAGTGTCTTTCACACATGCGTGATCTAGGCATCTCTTTAGTTGGCTGTCGCCATTTCTGTAAATGGTATTGGCTGTGCTCTAATGGCTGCCTGTGAAATCTGTCTCTTTTGAAGCCATGTTGAGCCTGGTTGCCGGGGGAATGACGTTGCTCCTTCCAGAGACCAAGGGGGCTGTGTTGCCAGAGACCATTGAGGACGCAGAGAACCTGGGGAGGTGAGTCCTGTGGTGCTGAGCACTCTGGGGCCCCACGTTAGACCTGCCCTCCAATCATCCTTAACTGCAGAGCTGATATGTAGAAAAACACAATAGCCATTGACTGTATCAGGAAAGAATGGAGAACATGGATATGCATTTTTGGTTGACAGTTATCTGTTCTAAACTGGGGGACAGAGAAAGATTTGTCTGTGATGCCGGCTGTATGAGCGCCAAGATCCCCTGCTCACCGCAAGGGTTAATGGCTGTCAATTGGGAACTATTTTTCAATCAATCTTCTGTCCTCTTAGCGATTGTTGGTTCAGATTCCTTAGTGACTTTCTTCACGAGGAAGGATGACTTAAAAATTTCATTCTTGTGACAGGGACAAGTGCTTTATTTAAAGGAGTCTCAGATTGTACTCTTAAAGCAATCAGAAGGGAAAGAAAGAGAGAAGGGCTCCCTGAGGTCCTCTCTCAGGCCCCTTTCCAGGGTCCGGTCCGTGGATTCCTTAGTAAAGACACATGTGCTCCTGTGAAGTAGAGCAAATGGTTTGTGGAATCGTAAACCTGGATGTGGTCACCAGCTTGGCCACGTGGCTTTGGGGATGTCATTGAACCCTACAGAACCTTAACTTCCTTGCCTGAAAAATAACCACAGTAATACTTAATTCAGGAGGTTACTGTGAAAATTCAATGAGATACAGTAGATGATGGTGACTAAGCCATTGCCTAGACAGGAGTCGGCACACTTTTGAGACGGAAGAGCCGCCAGGGGTCAGCAAATGCAGCTCGTGAACAGTGGCTCTGAAGTCAAATTGAAAATGAAAATAAAACTATCATAGTTTCATTTATAAACATTTTAAAGGATATTATTCACATAATGGTGATTATGTAAAAATATATTTCTGGCTCCCAAATAATTTTTAAATTGTTGCGAGGGACAGGATTGACTCTTCAAGGGGTCGGCAAACTTTTGAGATGGAACGTACCCAAAGAGCTGCATGTGGCTCGTGAGCCACGATTTGCTGACCCCTGGCCTAGCACATAGTAGGTGTTTAATAAATCTTAGCTTTTCTCCATTCTTCTTGCATATTGTATAATTTCCTCAGTGGTTCTCAAAACTTTGTAAGCAGACGAATCATGAAGGAAACTTACTAAAATGCAGATACCTGGGTTTTCTAGGTTTTTGACTTAGTAAATGAATGGTAGAACCCAGGAATTCATGGTTTTAATAACTTCTACTGATGATGCCTGTTTAGGCACTCTATAAACCCCACTTTCAGAAATTCTGCATTTCTCAGTACTGATAAGGGACAAACACCCTATTATAACTATAATCACATTTGGTAGTTGCTGAAAATATGCTTCTTTTTTTGGTCCCAAGTGGTAGAAATATATAGCTAATGTTGATCACATGATTTTAAAATGTTTCACTATAATTTGTTATTAGGCACTTTGCCATCTTCTAAGATGTTTTGCTTATCCCTTCACTTTATCATCCTAATCACTCCTGCCCTGAGCCGCACATCTCCCTGTACACCCTCTGTTTCCGACAATGCTCTTCATATTGCATAATAATTTGTTATTCCATTATCTGTCTTCTCCACTGCACTGATTTCATAAATTGTAGCCACAGTCTATTACCAGAAATATCATTTCAATCACTCTTTCTTCCCTATTTTCCGGGAGAAAATGCTGGGGAATGTAGGTAATAGTAGCCTTAGCTCACGTTTATGGAGTGCTGGATTTCACTGAAACGCTCATGTGCACTTTTACCCAATCCTCTCAACACATTGTGAGGCAGCTGCTATTGTTATCATACCCGTTCTACAGGTGATGGGAATAGGGACAGGCACCCCCAAAGTCCCAGATTCAAAATGGCACGTTGGCTCTAATGCGATGGAGCTAGGTAGCAACACAGCAGATGCTCCCCCTCCAGGGTCAGCAAACTCTCTCTGAAAGGGCCAGGTGGTAAGTATGACAAGGCTTTGGGGCCACACAATCTCGGTGGCCAGGGATCTACTCAATAGCATGAAAACAGCCATAGACGATACATGAATGAGTGAGTGTGGTTAGGTGCCAGTAAAAGCTTATTTATGAAATTTGAATTTCATCTGATTTTCAAGTGTCAAGAAATAATGTTTTCATTTTGATTTTCAAAAAATGATGTAAAAGTGTAAAACACCACTCAGCTCATGGGCAAGCTGCCGGCCAGAACTGGCCCACAGTTTGCCGACCCCCTTTCTTCTGTGTGGCTTGCTATCCTTGTTTTCTCTTTTTGGGTTGAGACTTATGCCCACATATAACTTTGCAACAGTTTCTTGATCAAGACATTGATTCTTTATTTTAACTTTAATTTTTATTTCCGGTTCCTACAGGAAAGCAAAGCCCAAAGAAAAGAAGATTTACCTTCAGGTCCAGACATCAGAACTGCAGGCGCCAGAGAGAGACGCTTCCCAGGGGGCCAAGGGGCAGAGATAAGATGGAGTTTCTCATGCTCAGAAGCCCTTACTTTGCTATACTCTTCCTTGTACTTGCCAGCCCCCAAATCAATATGAATCCTGAAGAACACCAAATATACTTTGTTTATTTTGTTTTCTTTCTTTTAAGCCTCCCAAAGCCCTGGTTATCTTTCTAATGAGAGCTGTTAGTGGTTACCAGGTACTTAATTTTCTAAAGTGTTTTAAAGATCCAATAGAATTTAAATATTGCTATCAAGAGGCCCCTGTGACTAGTTTCCTAAAATAGTACTGATTTATTCACTCCCTGAAAGAAAATGTCTTTGTGTTTGTAGATATCTATGTTGGCAAAAGCATTTCAACATGCAGATTTCTTGGGGAGCACTTGGTTTTTGTTTTTCTTTCTTTCTTTCTTTCTTTCTTTCTTTCTTTCTTTCTTTCTTTCTTTCTTTCTTTCTTTCTTTCTTTCTTTTAAAGGATTTTATTGGGGAACACTGTGTTTTTCTAGGACACATCAGCTCCAAGTCAAGTAATTGTCTTAAATCTAGTTGTGGAGGACGCAGCTCCGTGGCCCATGTGGGGATCGAACCTGCAACCTTGGTGTTATGAGCCTGCGCCCCAACCACTTGAGCCAACCGGCTGCCCCAAGAGAGCACTTGGTTTTTAAATACGGCGACTCTTCAAACAAACTATCCCCTAATTATGTGGACATATGTGTGATGGAATGAAACATGATCCTCATTCAAAGGCCAGAAGTAGTATAACCATCTTAGGAAAAAAGTTTCTGCCACCCGTGTTCCACCAATATTTTATTATTTTTCACCCTTAGTTTTGGTTCTCATTGATGATTCTAGAAGGTGAACACATATGCCAGCTATGAAATTTCACAGTGAATATATCCAAAAGAGTTCAGTTTACTACAAGTTGTGTAGGAAGCAGTGATTTCCTTGCTGGAGTACACAAAAAGCTTTATTTTAAAATTTCTTTACCCATGAGACAAACTACAGAGAAACGTAATAGCCAGCCTTTTAAAGTACACTGAGAAAAAAAAAACCCTAATGTCAATTGGAGGTGCTTTGAGAGACAATTGGTTATATTATAAACACTTCTGGACTGATTTGCTAAGCTAAGTGATGGCCTCAGAGACTTAAGATCATGGTATTCGGTCCTGAGCAGCATTTGGTTTTCCTTTAGAATGGACATGGGCTGCTTGGAAGTCTGGAATTTTGCTCTTAGCAAAAAAAACACAAAAAACAAAAACAAAAACCCCCAACCCCCACCCCCCCAAAAAAACCACACAAAAAAACAAACGCCTTATCTTCCTAATTCTATTTTATTAAAACCCATCTGGGTGCATAGAGAACTTGCTCTTCATTTCAGCTTCTCCAAAGCAAAGACCTTCTCTGTATCTTATATGATTATATTCTTTACTGGTAAGAAAAACAGGCATACCTGTTTTATCCCGCTTCGCAGATATTGCCTTTTTTACAAATTGAAGGTTTGTGGCAACCCTGCATCGAGTAAGTCGATTGGTGCCGTTTTCCCAAGAGTCTCAGATGCTGGTGAGCATTTTGCAGCACAAAGTATTTTTGAAATTCAGGTATGGACATTGTCTTTGTAGACACAATGCTATTGCACACTTTATAGATTATAGTATAGTGTAAGCATAACTTTTATATCCACTGGGATACCCAAAACTTCACATGAATCCCTTCGCTGAGGTACTTGCTTTATTGCAGTAACCTGGAACTGAACCCACAATGTCTCCGAGATCTGCGTGTATGTAAATGGCAGGCTTTAAATAATGTTTTTCAAGTGTATATTAACAACATCCTCTCTAATCCTTCTGAGAATCCTTTGGCCAAACTTCTGAGGAAGGCTTTAAACAAACAGGTGTCGTCATTAAAAGCAGCAACAATAAATGAGATAAGACTTAAAAAAAAAAAAGCAACAAAACGTCCAACTTTCTTTTTGCTCTATAGACATGTCTGCACAATCTAGATGTGCACTGCTCTCGTTGGAGGAAGCACGGCCAGTGCTCACTTACAAAGACAATGGACCGGATCTCGGTGCAGTTGGTCTGAGCAGAGAAGATGTGCGTGTGTCTACGCTCTCCCGAAGGAGGGGGACTAGTCCTCGTGACGAGCTCTAAAGTATATATAGCCAGTGTATTTGAATGTTGCCTGATGTGTCACAAGGTGACGCTGGCCACCCTTCCCTTCCTGCCTTCCTCACTGTGGCTGTAGTGAGCCAAAGTCAATCCAGATAGAGTGGTGGGTGGGAGGTGGAGGGGGGTCTGTCAGAGTGAAGGCAGAAATCAGCTGGTCACAGGGACAGATGGCATGAAACACTTGGGAAGCCCGGGAGGCGTGACACAGGTATCAGGAAACATAAGCTCCGGCAGTGGCAATGCTGTGCAGTCCTATTCTCTCAGCAAACATGTGCTGAGCGCCTGCTGTATGCCTCAGTCATCTTGGGCTCTCAGGAAAGCCTGGAGACAACTACAGGGTGTGCTGCGAATAATGCTGGCGTAGAATCCACGGTAGCAATGACGTGTTTGTGAGGCAATTCAGGTCGAGCTGTTAGATGTGGAGGAGCTGCAGAACCGACCTTAGCAGTAGATAGAGGGGTTTGAGAGTCTTGAAAATCATCCCTCTGTCCTGCCCCAAACATTTCTTTCTATGCCTGCAATGCAACCTTTAGAGATTTCTTGCTGCGGGACTTGAGAGCCAATTACTGAGATGGAAAGAGAAGTAAAACCCACTCAGTGGTCAGCAAGCAATGGGGTGGGGGCCGCTTGTCAGGTAGGAGCAGAGGGGCCTGGAGGAGGTCCAGGACAGTACCTGCAGAGGGGCGGGCGTGGAGGCAGGGGAGGATGTGGTCACTTTCAGCCTTGTGGCCTAGGACCCCATGTGGTCTTAGAGAGGCAGCACCATGTCCCCAGAAGAGCCCAGGGTCTGGTATGAGCCGGATGTGGCTTCCACACCTCCTTTGTCACTACTGATTTGATGGCCTGGAGCAAGTTCCTGAACTGTCTGAGCCTCTGTGTCCTCCTCACCCCCACCTCCAAGTGGGTTGGGAGGATGCTGAAACAATATGGAAAGCTGTGAGCACCACCTGGGCAGAGGTGCAGTCAGTCTGTGTGGATGCTGGGGCGCTGTCCCAGCTTCCCTGCTACGTGGTCCCACGTCTGGAGTGTACAGGGGATCCAATGATCTTCAGCTGAAGGAAGGACTGAGCATCCAACCAGCTCACTCCCTGCACCTGGTTGCTAAGGGCAGCATGTCCTATTGTCTACCCCACGCCGGCCTCCTCTCTGCAGGTGAATTTGAATGTCAGATGTTTGAAGATGCCACTGGAGCAATTCAGAGACGTAATGAAAAATATATCTTACAAAAGGTCCTTTATGAGACACACTCAATATGCGCTGATTTGGTCACCGCAACACCATTTTGAAGCAGATATTATCTCCCTTTCAATGTCGAGGGGGTAATTTCAGAGATGGTAAGTGACTTTGCGCTGGCAGGCATGGGGCTGGGCCTTGAATTTAGACCTTCTGGACCAGGTCACAGGGCAGATGTCAAGTTTGGACACTAAGCAGGAAGGCTGAAGAATGCAGGGAACCTGTTCTAAGAGGCGTGGCCTCTTACAGTTGAGTCTGTGTTTGGTGACTTCCGTTCCAGGCATTTCTGATTACCCGGCTGTCCCTTGCCCTCGGCCTGTAAGTTGAGCAGAAGGACAGAGGAAAATCATGAGTGCATCATGGGCGGTGTTCATAGAGCCTTTACCAGAGCTATGGCACATCCTGGCAGCCTGTGCCTACTTGCTGGCTCCACTCTTCAGCACGAATGGGTGGTATTTATCCCACCCCAGGTTCCTGTCCAAGTCGTTACGTATTTTATCTTTTTATCCCACTTGTGAAAAGGACATGCCCCTATAAGCTATTACATACACCTGAAGGATGGTTTATGGAGGTGCTGGATTAATCCCAACCTCTCACGGTGGGGTGCCTGCTGCTTTCTTGGACTAATCTTATGGTTTGGTTAAAAGACCTATGAGAGTCTGGTTGCCTGGGAGTTTTGAGAGATGGCAAGGTTGTAACTGTTAAACTAATAATAGCTCAGATTTACTCAGAACTTGCCATGTACCAGATACCATTCTAAGCATTTTATATTATATTGTCTCATTAAATTCTCATAACACCTCCATGATACCGAATATGACCTAATAGTAAAGAAAAGAAACCTGAGTCACAGAGGGCTTGTGGTTTGCCCACGGTCACCAGGTGGTGAGTAGAGGGACCTGGGGTCTCTCTCCAAAATCCATGTCTTTAACCAAGATACTGTACTACCTACTGAGGTCCAGGAGCTAGTAGCCGTATGCGTTATTAACAAAAACCCAAAGGCAGTAAAATCATTCTTTTGTAGAGAAGACTGAAAGCCTTTCTCAGTTGGTCTGAGCAGGAAATGCTCAGCAGGCTGCCCTTTGGTGACCCCGTGAGACACATTCTCCCCAGAACGGCAATAATTAAGCCCCTGTCTGCAGCCAGGGTTCTGGAGAGTTCGTCACAATTATTCTTAAATAGTACTGTTCCTGACGCCTTCCTCTTGATTTAAAAAATTTTAAAATATCAAGAAACAAAAAAGGGAAAAATCACTTCAAAACTCACCACTTAAAAGAATTCTGTAGGAGAATTATTATAGTTGGTCACTCCCCCACCCCCTCACCCACTGCTCCCAGTGTCACCCCCAGGGGGCACTGCTGACAGTGGGCTGCATTTACATCCTTTGTCTTCACACATGGAGCCAAAGATGTGAATATTTGGCAGGATGGCACTCTGAAGCACCTAGAATGTATATTCCCCCACATTCTCCCTTTGAACCCCGACTCTGGCTGCTACCTGAACAGCCACCATCGTCCCAAGCTGAGCTGTCACAGCACAGCCAGAAAACACAGGTTCCTGGCACCTAGGTTGTCAGCTAGGTATGGCAGAGATTCAGAGCAGGAGAAAAGGGCCTTTTGCCTCTATCAACAGAGGAGACAAAATTGCTCTGGGCTGGGCAGACGGTGGAAGAATTGCAAAGAAAAGTTAGGTGCTGGTCTTTGAGAAATGGCCTGGGCTCCGCATTGCCTCCCAAGGGGGTGTTAGTCTGGGTTAAATTTGCCTATGAGGAACTGAAATCTCCAAAAGATCAGGAGCTTAAACAGCATAAAAGTTTATTTCTTCCTGGTATTCAAGAAGTTCAAGGATGCCTGCCCAGAGCTAGTGGGGTGGCACAGAGATGGGCCCAGGTGCCGCCATCTCATTGCTCTGCCGGGCAGGGCTTTCCTCGCCAGGTTCCAAATGGCTGCTGGCACTCGCCCATCATA